CATGGCTCATACTGGGAGAATTGTCCACATCTAACATAGATTAATATTCCTGAAAGACTGATTGCACTTAGAGGGGTTTGTTAAGAACTAGAATAACATAGAAATCATTTGACTAAAATCCATATTTTAGGCATCAGGAAAAGAGGACTCCAAGAAAAGGCTTTTCCAGGGTCATGTTGCTCAGTTGTGTCAGTCTTAGGCCACTAGCCCAATTCTCAGAATTGCTACTTGGTTAGTTTACTGGCCTGAAAATCCAATGACTTTCCATGGAACACTAGTGTTTCCATAATTAGATTCAGGCTGTTCTACCACTAATACTGAAAAAGATGATTTCAAAACTTGATGGAAAAATTAGCTAAGAGGAAGATAGTTTTTGTTTTTTTGTTCTCCCATATATATATATATTAGGGTTTTGTGCTTGCTACCACTTACTGGCTATAGACTGCTGATGACAGAATAAATATTGAAAAAAGACACGAATTAATAGCCAGATCAAACTTAACAGGTTGTATTTCTTTTAAAGATCCATATGGTTACTCTTGTGATTTTTTTTTTTTATTGCATACATGTTGGTAGTCATATTTTTTGTTTTGCATTCAGAAACATTTAGTCAAAGCGTGGGATATAGTAGGCAATTGTGCTTGGTTTGGGGGCTATGAAGAATAAGATTTCATCCCTCTTGGTCTCTGGTTAAGTTTAGAAATGGGAACACAAGAGGATTGGCAGTAGTCAGTTCTCCCTAGGCGAGAGAGGCAGGAAAGACTTCACAGGATAGGTGACATTTGAACTGACTTCTGAAGATGAATAGGTTTTCCATACATAAAAAATGAGACGAAAATAAGTTAATTATGGAAATGTAAGAGGCCATTTTAACTAGAACTTTGTAAAGAAAGGAGAAAGGGGTGAAAAGGCCTGGCATGTTCAAATATTAGCAGCCATGATTCAGTATGGTTTCAGTATGGCTAGAGAGGGTTATGTGAATGGGGCCATGCCGGAAGACTGTGTTAGGCATCAAGGACCCAATCAAGAATGATCTTTAACAGGAAGTTTGAACTTCATTCTTTAGGCAGTGGGGGAGCCATTAAAATTCTTAAGCGAGAAAGTTACAGAATGACTGGTGCTATGGATTTCTTATTTTTATAAGAAAACTTAAAGATAAATTAGGGTGTCGTCAGTTTGGAGGTACGGAAACAAATTAGAAGATTAATTCAGTAATCCCAGCAAGAATTGAAGGCCTGAAATAACTAGAGCTGTGGTAATAAAGATGGACAGTAACAAGAATCTGAAGAAACTTGGTGACAGATTAAGAAGGAGAATCTATATTGAGCTCCTAGTTTGTGACTCATGTGACTGGGTATATGATGGGTAAGATTACCCTTGATGGGGGACAGTGGTGAGTTCCATGGAGATAGATGGATATAAGAACCTGTTGGACATCCAGTAGGCTATTGGATGCATGGTTGTGCCGATAAGGTTTTGGAAATCATCAGTATGTAATTAACACCACTGGAGTGATGAGGTTGCCCAGAGAGCATTTAGAGCAAGGATTCTTAACCTCTGGAATCCAAATATTCGCCATTATCCAAATTAGTATATATGTGACATTTGTTAGGGGAAGGTCCATAGCTTTCTTCAGATTCTCAAAAGCGATAAATACTTACTTGGTGTGGAAAGGGGCCTAGGACAGAGCCCCAAGTATCTTCATTAAGTGATGGGCAGTGATAGTGAGTAGTCTCAGCAAAGAAGGCAGTAAAGGAACAATAGTGAAGAGAGAAATGTGATGTCAAAGCCCAAGTCAAGTAACATGTAGACTGAAGAGTCATTGGCTTGGCAATTAGAAAACTTGTAAATTGTTTCTAATAAACAAGATGGAATCAGATGTATTTGTATGTAATGAAGCTTTCCACAGAACCCCCATGGCTTTCTAAGAATTATAAAAACCATTGGCCTACAAAAAAGTTCAAATGCCTCTGTCGAGTGTTCAGGGCTAAAATTTGCTCTTGCCTTGCTGTTACAGTTTAACGTCTCGCTTCAGTATTCTGAACTAGCCAAAGCGATCTCTTGACTGTTTTCTGGATACTTCATACAAATCTTAGCCCCACGCTTTTGCTGGTGTTTTTCATCCTGCCTGCCCTATTCCCCCCCAACAAATCCTAGCAGTCTTTCACAGTTTAGTTTGTTCTGCTATCTCTGTGCTCCTTTCTGACTATATTGATTTCCTCCTTTATATCAGTGGTAATTACTGTCTTGTTTTGTCATTTAAAATTGTACCGCCTTGCATTGCTACTTACTTTATATGTTATTGCCGCCTTTTCCCAGTGAGAGTTTACTCCTAAAGACTAGCAGTACCTTACATCTCATCACACCCCCTAGTGGCTTGAGCTTTCACGTACTTATTTTAAATACTAAAATATTTGAATGAATTTAACCTAAGCCAAATATAGTGGGAGAAAATGTGTTTAAGAAAAAATTCTTATGATGCATTCTAAATGATACAGGAGTGATTGACAGGTCATTTTACAGCCGTACTCCATTTCTATGGGTAATCAAGAGTTGATTGCGTATCAGAATAAAATACTGATATATATAAGGCTTCTGGGCTTTTATTTGGAATTTTTAATGAATTAATTAAATTTGTTAGGCCAAACTAATTTTTCTGTGTAAAATTACTAATTTTTCAAGATGGAAATATCTTTTTTTGGATTTAAAGTAAAATGCACTTACTAAAATAAGTCTACAAGTAGAAATAAAATATTACTAGTATTTCTATACTGTTTTGCCAAAGGCACTCACATTTTATAAACATCTTTACCATCCGTAAATTAAGTAGGTACTGATGGGGTTAACATACAAAACTTATTGACTAACAATGCAGCTGGCTCATTACTAAACAATATGATATATTACTTTGGAACCTGACTTCAGTGTCATGGTGTTGCTGGTTTTGCTGAATGATAATTTAGCTTAATCTGATTTTGAAGCCAGTGTTTGTCTTTCTTCCATTATTTGCTGAAAACTTTTGGCATAATCCAGGGTTATGGTAGGAAAACTGTAGCAAAAAAAAAAAAAAAAAGGCCAGAGTTGCATTGCTTTATTCCACAGTCAGAAAAATTAAAAAACTTTCTTAGTTAAGAAGTAGAATAAATATGTTAGATACTCCTATGTGGGTCACATTGTTGTTGAGCAGATATCTACTAACATAAATCCTAAATTGTAGTAGTTACCTGACAGGAGTCTGTGTAACACTTAGTAATCCAGTTTGACTAACATTTCAATATGTTTAAGCTTTTCCTTTTTTTCCCTGAAATCAGAATATGTATTTTCAAAAGAGTATAGTTTTTGTGCATATCCTCACACCTTAATTTAACCACATTTTTTAAACCGGTAAAGCATATTTTGACCATTTTCATAAAGAAGGAAAGTTCCTTTAATTCCCAAGCAGTATTGCTTATTGAGTAGAATATACTAAAACATTGAGACAGATCAGTGGGAAGAAGATAAACTAACTCAGTGGCTGAGTGACTTGCTTCAGCAAAGCTGCCTGGGGGCTCCTTTACCCCAGTTTGTGGCTCAGCAGCATTTCCTAAACGTTCCAGGTTATTTGGCATGAATAAATTATGAATAGTAAAACAAGTGTTATATGTATCCTTTATAATAAAAACTTAATAAAAATGAATTTTTTTAATAAAAATTAAAAGGGAAAAGCAGGTGTATCCCAATTAAGTTTTTAATCCACATCCATGATTTAAAATAACTAAAAACTGTAGAATATACAGTTTAATCCCTTTCATATTTTAGAATGTGGATATATGTGAGTTATTCTGGCGGACAAAGAAAAAATTGAAGGACTTTGGAATTTTATTATACACACTTAACTACCTTTTTAAAGAGAAACTTAACATGGCATTCCCTGATTTTAAGGGAAGAGAACCTAGTCAAGTCGCTGGGGTAGGAAGGCAAAATTCTAGGGACCAACAGCAATGTGGGAGCTAAATCAAAATGTTTGATCTTTGATGGGTTGAGTGCCTGCTACCTTCTCCATTCACGGGTGAGTCTAAATAAGGTAAGAATTCTCTGGATTCATGATGTCCAGTAAAATAATATAAGCTACATAAATATAACTTTAAATTTTTAGTAATCACATTAAACAAGTGAAATGAAACAGGTGAGACTGCTTTCAGTAATATATTAATTGGGGGCTTCTGGTTGGCTCAGTCGGTAGAGTGTGTGACTGTTGATCTTGAGGTTGTGAGTTTGAGCCTCATGTTGGGCACAGAGAGTTGTTTAAACAATTCAATCTTTTAAAAAAAATAATTTATTTAATCCAGTAAAAGCAATATTTTTCAGTATGTAATCAGTATTTTTCAGATGTTAAGAAGTATTCTAGTTTTTTGTGTGTTTAGTGTTTGTAATTCAGTGTGTATTGCATTTAAAGCACACCTCAATTTGGGCTAGTCACATTTCAGGTGCTTGATAGCTGCATGCTGCTAGGAATGACTGTATTGGACACTGTCTCTCTAGAACATCTAAGAGATGTGTGCCCATGATATTGAGAAATAGAACTTGCCTTATATCCAATGTAAAATATTAAAATTCCCTACCTTAGTCGATGCCTCCATCTGTGCTGGCCGGGTGAAGCACTAACATAGGTCATAAATTGTTAGTTTTGAGAATACCTGTTTCCAGGATCGAGATAAATAAGAAATACGACTTTAACAATGACTGGCAACATATTTGTGAATTTCAGTACTCTTATCTTCATATGCAGTTCTTTCACCTGTGCTTTCAAACATACGATGCCACAACTAAATTCCGTACATAATTTATGTAATATAAAGAAAAATGTTTTGTATTTTGTATTTCATCCACTAGAAACCTCTGACTCTATATGCTGAGCTTTATTAAGAAGAATGATAACGGCTACCTTACTCTTTAAGATACTAAATTATTTTAAGTAATTAGGACTGTCATCTGATTTCAATTTTCTTTTATATTTTAAGGATATGGAATATTATCTTGTAAAATGGAAAGGATGGCCAGATTCTACAAACACTTGGGAACCTTTGCAAAATCTCAAGTGCCCATTACTTCTTCAGCAGTTCTCTAATGACAAGCATAATTATTTATCTCTGGTAAACAAAGGCAAAGCAATATCTCTAAAAGACAATAACAAAGCTTTGAAACCTGCCATTGCTGAGTACATTGTAAAGAAGGCTAAACAAAGGATAGCTCTGCAGAGATGGCAAGATGAACTCAACAGAAGAAAAAATCATAAAGGAATGATTTTTGTTGAAAATACTGTTGACTTAGAGGGCCCACCTTCAGACTTCTACTACATTAATGAATACAAACCAGCTCCTGGAATCAGCTTAGTCAATGAAGCTACCTTTGGTTGTTCATGTACAGATTGCTTCTTTGAGAAATGTTGTCCTGCTGAAGCTGGAGTTCTTTTGGCTTATAATAAAAACCAGCAAATTAAAATCCCACCTGGTACCCCCATTTATGAATGCAACTCAAGGTGTCAATGTGGACCTGATTGTCCCAATAGGATTGTACAAAAAGGCACCCAGTATTCACTTTGCATCTTTCGAACTAGCAATGGTTGTGGCTGGGGTGTAAAAACCCTTGTGAAGATTAAAAGGATGAGTTTTGTCATGGAATATGTTGGAGAGGTATGTTCACCTTATACCAAACAATGGAAGGTTTATGCTTTTTTTTATATCAGTAACAAATATTGGTACATTTTTATATTACCATTTGCAAGTATGTAAAAATTTCAGGTTTGAGAGAAGGGTTCACTGGCATAGTTAGAGATACAAACTTGTATATGAACAACAACAACAAAAAATATATATATATATATAATGACAAAATTGTCTTCTTTCAGAACCATCCATTAATAGTCATTGAAACTGGAATTTGTAAAATATGACAATTTTACATAAAAGCCCTAAGAAGAAAATCAGATCTAAACATCTGCTGACTTTGAAAACTTTTAGATAATTCATCCACTTGACTAAATATGGTTAAGTGTAGTTGGCAAAACTAAACATTATATCAACGTGAGAGATACTGTAGACAAATGCTCTCTGAGCAAGTGTTGTAAAATAAACTTAAAAGCATTTATTGCATCCACCAGAAAATCCAAATTCTTTGTAGCTCAGCAAGAGACTCTTCTCTAAATTGCTAAAGACTGAACTGATATTCTTGTACGTATAATGTAAATTTAGAAAAAATAGTATTTGTATGTACCACATACTATTTTGAGCACCTTATGTTTTAACTCGTTAATCCTTTCAATAACTGGGAGGTAGTACTGTTATCTCCATTATTATAGATGAGGAAACAGGCACAGAGAAGTTGAGCAACTTGCACAAGGTCACGTTGTAGTGAAGAGGAGCCAGGATTCAAAACCAAGTCTCTAAGATGAGTGTGCTTTGCCCCTGAGCTACACTTCCTCAAACTGGGTGAAGGATTAAGTCGTGACTAGAATACAAGTGTGACTTACGTATCTCAGGTTGTCACATCTGACATTTTAAAAGTGAATTAGGTCATGTGTAATTATCTGTATTCATCTAGAATACTGAGATTAAATTGGATACTTCGATCCTTCAATTTTTAGACAACAGCAGATTATTGTAAATCACTATTCGAGATCTTGTATGCCAGATCTTGTATAATCGAATTATTTTTGTATAATCAGATTCTCCCATTTTGGCTTACTGAATGCAGTGGTTAAGTCTGGTTGACACCATGAATCACTTTAGACATTTTTGGTTTCCTAAGCTGAGCATCTGGTAAAGCTGTGTTCTTAGAACAGAACTGTTGGTTTTGAGCTACAGAATTTCATGAAAACAGCTGATTCAGCAAAACTAAACTTTGTCCATACAGTTGACTGCAAATTTAGCATGCCTTCTTTCCTATATTTGTAACAAATTTCCATTTGTAACTGCACAGATTAGTTCTGGGAATAATAACCTTTTAGAGTATCTTTACTTTTTTTTAAAAATTAACATATAATGTATTACTGGTTCAGAGGTGCACGTCTGTGATTCTTCAGTCTTGTGTAATACCCAGTGCTCATTTATATCACATGCCCTCCTTAATGTCCATCAGCCAGTTACCTCATCCTTCTACACCTCCCCTTCACCCCCAGCAACCCTCAGTTTGTTTCCTCTGATTAAGAGTCTCTTAAGGTTTGTTCCCATCTGGTTTGATCTTGTTTTATTTTTTCCTCTCTTGCCCCTATGATCCTCTGTTTTGTTTCTTAAATTCCACATATCAGTGAGATCATACGATAATTGTCTTTCTCTGATTGACTTATTTAGCTAAGCATAATACCCTCTAGTTCCATCTGTGTCGTTGTAAATGAGTATCTTTACTTGTAAATTTAATCCTTTACATTCCCTTATGTCCTACAGAAAGCTATAATTGGGTAGCGTTTTGAACATCTGAATACATTGGAATGAAAGTAGTACTGTCTTAATGGTGGGTTGTCCTAATTTCTGTCTTAAACAGCCTTGATTCTTTTGCAGTCATTTCTACCCTTAGTTTCCCACATCTTTTCATCCAGCTCTTCTAGAGTAGTTTGTGTGAATATTTGTCTTGATGACACTCTAATTTCTTTTTAAACCTTTGTAGGCATTAGTATGTTAATAATTTATGGATGAGTGTTTCTTCAGTTCAACAATAGCTATATAATATACTATAGTTTTTTCTTTTTAGGTAATCACAAGTGAAGAAGCTGAAAGACGGGGGCAGTTATATGACAACAAGGGAATCACATATCTCTTTGATCTGGATTATGAATCTGATGAATTCACAGTGGATGCAGCCCGATATGGAAATGTCTCTCATTTTGTGAATCACAGTGTAAGTGACACTTAAAGAATAGACAGGACTAATCAACTTAGCAGTGTTTTTAATGATTTTCCATAGTTGAGGAATAATTATCTTTAAATTACTTATTCTTTTAATATTTCTAGAGTATTTTAATATAAAGACCTCTTAGGTTAGGTTATGGTATTATTGCTGTATTAGGAAAATTCACCGAGGTACCTACCAAATACCATGCATTCTGCAGAGTTTTTATGTATGCTACTTCATTTAATCATTCCATAACTTCGTAAGTTAGGTTTTGTCTTAATGTAGAGGATGAAGTTAGTGGAGGAATTAAGCAGGTAGAAAGGTTAGGAATCACATGCAGCTGGAGGGGTTAACATGTAACATGTTAATACATATATAAAACTTAAGAACTTGTAGAGTACTTAAGTATTTAGGGCTATTTTTCTAAGTTATAAGTTAGTATTTTTAATTCATGTTTGAAACGAACTTAGAATACACCTGGAACTCTAACTGTAGAATTTTATACTCTGTAAACTATTTGTAAAAATAAGAGAGATGAATAGTTACTGGGTACCTACTAAGTGCCCACAGGTAAGGGTAGGTTATGTAGCTGCCCATCTAAGGAAGTAGGCCATGCTAAACTTTCCTTGGATTTTATACCGAGAAACTAGTTTATGTTTAAATAGTGAAATGTCAGAGACCTTCTGACTCTTTTGTTAGCTTTTTTGATTGACTTAAACTTTGCTTTAATTTTTTTTTCCTAATGATAAATTTGAGATACTCTCAAAATAGATGTATTCTAAACAGGTAAACACTTAACTTTGATTTCTTAGGATGATTCACTAGATGTTTCTTCTTGCATTATCCAGAATTTAATGTAGAATTTTCAAAATATTAAAGAGTTCCAAATAGAAGTTAAAGCAATGAAACTGCATGCAGTATGAAATTTGAGTTGTATAATGCTGACTTTTTTTTTTACTTGATTTTTTAAATAGTTATCAATAAGTTATTGAAATGAACTACATACAGGTGAAATGATAATGTTATCCAGGGTTTGCATGACAAGTCCTCAGAGATGTTAAAAGGTTGAGACTGGATGAAACAGGATTGGTAAAAATGTTAATTGTTAAAGCTGCAGGGTGAATATATGTGGAATATTTTTACTAGTGTTGTGTATGTCTGAGATTTTCTATAAGTGAAAACACTTAATTTGCGTGCCTCAAAGACTGCTGAACAATAATGTAATTTCTAATAGAACTTAAAATAATAGTCAAGAAATTAAATATTTTATATGGCATGTAGAAGAGCCTATTCATGTCATTTTTTACATAAATGGATTCTAATGTTCCTTTTTAGTGTGACCCAAATCTTCAGGTTTTCAATGTTTTCATTGACAACCTTGACACCCGTCTTCCCCGAATAGCATTATTTTCCACAAGAACCATATATGCTGGAGAAGAGCTCACTTTTGATTATCAAATGAAAGGTATGGTTTTCAAGTACAGTTTGGTGTTCAGTTGTTTCAGTTATGAAGAATCAGAGTAGTAAAAGTCCTGAACCAAAAGATCGGAACCAAGCAAATATTAAAGAAGAGAAAAAACGAGGTCACAAAGCTAATCTGACAGAGGTAGAACTAGAATCCAGGTCTGCCTGACCTTAAGCTGAGTAATGCTCTTTTCTCTGTATCACGTTGCCAGCTGCTTTTTTCATAAGTTCCATTATGAGAGCTTATTATACATCTTTTCTCAATATTACTTAAATTTTAAATTTTAAAATTGTAATGCATTTCTGAATATTTACTAAGAGATGTATATTCAAAAGATTGAAAATACAACTTAAATCACAAGTGAACTTAATCCATTCCTACTTGGATTTGGCTTTTTTCAAAAAAAGAAAAATGGTATTTTGTTTCCTTTATTGTAACAATATGTTTTTTCTTTCCTTTGTTTTTTTTCTAAGTATTAATTACAAGTTGTTGCTATTTGGCCTCACTTTATGGCCCTTAAGTCATGTATGAAACTAAATGTTTATCAGATTTTCCCATTAATTCCCATCATTTCCGAAAGCTATTCTTAGAAATATGGGCTAATAGCATATGCTTTTATCTCTTACTAGCCCACGCCATCCTTTGAAGATAATTCAATGATCTGTTTCTGAATATTCACATTTACTTAAAACTGTGATAGAAAATTTGAACTTCCTTCTGAATTGTCTTAACTCTTATTTCCATATTTCTTTTCCTATGTAATCAGGTTCTGGAGATATATCTTCAGATTCTCTTGACCACAGCCCAGCCAAAAAGAGGGTCAGAACTGTGTGCAAGTGTGGAGCTGTGACTTGCAGAGGTTACCTCAACTGAATTTTCAGGAAATAGAGCTGATGATTGTAGTTTTGTTTTTTTCTAATGTTGACATTTCAAAAAAGTATTTGGGACTCTTTTCATATTATCAAGACTATATGCTTTGTTAATTTACAGTTCACGTTTCAAACTATTGGCCAAATGTATTACTGATGCTTCTGAAGAGAAGAACACAGGGTCATAGACTAATTTGAAATACACATATTTAGTAATGAGATACCAGACATGAAAACTATTTACAGATGAGCATATACATACATACGAAGTCTGTGGGAATAAAGAAATGCCTCCTTCGGTGTTTAAGCATTGAACTGATAGTCAACACTCAGATCAAATATGCAACCTGAGTACACCTTGAATTTAGAGAAAGGTAATCCAGTTTGGGCAAATATATACAAGTGTTATTTCTGTTCTGTTGTCATTCCCATTATTACTTACTGTACTTGTATTTGAGACAAACAGATGATACTGAATTATACTATTTTCCTACTTTCATGAAAATATTGGGTCTTACTGATATAGAAATTTAAGATTAAAATTAAATATAAAAGAATTTAATTACAGCTCAGTTTCACATTTTGAAGCTGTTATATGAGGCATGTATGTCTGAACCAATAATTCTTCAAGACTTTTATTCCCTTAAAAGAAAAATTTCCAAAAAGCTCTCAAATTGTAGCATGGCTGACCATTATGCTGCCTTGAAAGGATGGGGCAGTGGGACCACAGGAGGGTTTTTGGAGTGCCAGGTAGAGGAAAGGGAGCACTTGAAGGGCCCTTCTTAGTGCCATGAATTAAGAGATCCATGTTGAGTACCTCTGGTCTAAACATAAACAGTAAAACGAGCTACTCCTGGTTGCATCTGCACCTAAAAATAATGTTTCATACAATACATTCATATTACATCTTCTGAATTTCAGGCAGTTTTAACATTTCCACCAAATTTAATTATTTTTATATTTCGTACAGGCCCTTCTTAAAATAATCTATATTTTGAACTGATACTTATTTTTTATACATGAATTTTTTAAATGTGATAAAGCTAAACTTGGCTTGGCCAAAGTGTGTACCTGAATAATGAGAACTTTTTTTACTTGAACCATGAAGACTGAAATGGAATATATTCCTTGTTTGGTTTTTGTTTTTATTTTCCTGCATAGTAAAACCTCAATCGGGAAAAAATGTGTTTTCATCTCTCATTGTGGCATTTGTAATCATGGTGTCCAACATAAAGGTAAGCGCAGCAAGTAAATCTGGCTTTCAGTATTCCTAATTAAATTATACCTAAGCTCATTGCCCCATTGCTTTAATGACCTAAAATAAGTTTGGGTAAAATTGAATTGACTTCAAGAATGCAGCACTTCAAATATCTTCTTAATTTCGAGCCTCTTTTTTGGGAGAATGCATCTTTATTATGCATTATACTGCTGCCACATGACTTTGCTCTTTCATAATATAGGGTAAAATTTTACATGTTTGGAGTCTCAGTGTATTAACCAAAATCTGCAGGTGTCAACGAAAAATACATTTTTGGGTGCCATTTCTTAGGTTTTCTTTATGAGAAAATAGTTACATGGTGTCTGTGGTAAGAAAGCATCACAGATTTACAGGTGCTTCAGTGGCCAAGCTTACTCTGAATTACAATTCTCACGGGTTTAAAGGTATAATTTTAATATTTTTCTTAAGAAGTCTGTGTTTTACTGTCCAGTTAGTCTTGTCTACTTCTTGTGGTAAAAACAAATGTAAAACAGGAGGGCAAAGGGAATGGCTATTTTCAGTAAATTTGTTTCATTTTGTCCTTATTACTAGAAATTTAATGGGTCTTTGAGAGTTTAATTATCCGTGTTACCCTTATTTTATTAAAAAGCTGGACCTAATCAGTAAAATAGAAACTCCCTACATGAAGCTATTAAAAGGCTTTAACTATTTTAAGTCAACATTTAGCTTCTTTAGTTTCCCAAGTTGTCAGAATTTGTTCTCAGTATAAATATAGCCAATATTCAAGGGTAATATTTAGATTGAGTTAAAACTGTAAATCCACTGTGCGAGTTGTATTGATACTGTTTTCAGTACCTACACGAGGATCGTGATAAACAGTTGGTAATCTCAGGGTCTTCTCCTCCTCTGTGCAAAATCTAGACTGCACTTATTTTTCTTACAGTTCATTTTTCTTCAGCAAAATAAATTTAGTTTGGCGTTTGATTTTCTATTTATCGTGGCTTAGCTTTGTTTCTATTTTACTGTCATTTCCAGTAAGGCTTTGTACAAAAGGGTCAAAAAACACTGGTGCATTCTGGACTACTTGCTTTTGAGATTAGCCAAAGGTTTTTACACCGTTCCTTTTAAAGTTTATCGTGGTCATGGTTGATCCATTTGAATATTAAAGTAGAATTTTACATAGCCTAAAATGGATATGGATGGATACTTGTAAAATGTCTTGAGCATTATTAGTCACCAGGTTACTTAAACACATTGTGCTAAATAAAAACTGCCTGGAACTGTAAGGGAATTTTCAACTAAAGCTCCTATTCTTTGAGCTCCTCATAAACTGGTGAGGTTGGTGCTCTCAACCCTGGACCACAGCAGAGGGAAGGGAGTCTAGACTAGTTAGGTAACAGCAACGTGCCCAAGATCACCCGGCTCCAGGCCAGTAAACTATCTGACTAAAAGGTCCTCAACTCTGTACCGTTTGTTTAAACAAACATGTAACCCTGGGGTTCCTCTGTAAGGCAAATGTGGCTAGCCACAGCACTGTTTTAGGACTATCTTGGCATTTTGAAACTTTTTTTCACGTTTTTTCTACTTTACAGTTCTTAAAGTAAAAATCAAATAGCCACTATACTGAGTCCTGCCCGGTCCTGTGCTCTCTCCGAGAAGCATTATTGCCCAGCGGCTGAGTGCGCACACTCTGAGCTTGGAGTGCCTGCGTTTTCAGTCCCGGCTTTCCCCCCTCCCAGCTGTGTGAACTAACCTCTCTGTGCCTTAGCCTCCTCATTTGTGAATGGGGAGAATAAACTTATCTACCTCAAAAGGGTGTTGGTGAGGAATAAAGGAGTTGGTGTCCAGCGTATAAGAGAATGGAGCATCATCACAAAGTAAGTGCCGTACATAAGTGTCTGCTAGTTATTCTGTACTGCGAGCCCGTACTTTAAAATCTTGGGTGAGCACAAGGTGGTGGTGGTGGTGGTTTTTAAGTTTGTTCGAGTGCTCCTAGCCCTTAAATTCCTTCAGCTGGCATTTAGTATGCCAGGTTGACCTAGAAAAAACAGTGAGAACATGGCACTATGTAATGTAAATTGGCGATGTGATTATAAAGTGCTAAAGACTTCAGCAGAATGTGTCCAGGCGTGTGTTGAGTTCCCACCTTGGGTTATAAACTAGACTGTTAAGATGAGGTCTTTGGTGTCAGTGAACATATAGTTACATTCGATTATATGATTTGTAATAATGAAGTGTAACGAATTTTTAGAACTGTAAATAGAAAATGAAGTCTCTGGGTTCTTGTATTAGGCCTGTTGTAGTTATGAGGTGATATTCAACCAATGATCTGCAACCTCTACTGGTCTCTAGTGATTTTATATTCATTGGCATTTAGGTAATAGTACTCATAGGAGAGGGGCAAAATGGGATCCGTGTTAGTTTTACTTCAGTCATATGGAGTCTGTGGAATGTGTTTCATCAAAAGCTGGGAGTAGCTGCTGAGCTAGGAAAAAGGGATCAGTGCAGCCTGGCGATACTGCTTATCATTTAAATGGATCTGCAAACTGTCTTAGAGATGTCACTTAAACTTGTTTTAATTGCCATCTCTCCCTTTGCTTCCTTAATTTGTAAAATGCCAGCAAACCGCAAAATGCTGGAGAAAATCTGTTAATAGGATTGTGTGAAACACAGAACTATGCAAAAATGTAACCCACTGATGGACTTGAAGGAAATCAGACGACTCCCAGAACACACGTACGCTTTTGCCATTTAATTATTTTCTTTCAGGTCCTAATTTTTCCACTTTTACATTTGTCATTGTATTCACACCAGCACTCTTAAGTGATATGTCTTTTGAGATAAATAAGGGGCTGATTTTTTGATGTTTTTATGACCCTGCAGGTTACGGTCGTCTAGTGCGGTCAGTGTGCCACGGGCACCTGTTAGTGGGTGGAGTGTTCTGCGTCCATTAGGTTCAGCTGGTCGGTGGTGCTCTTCAGTTCTTCTGTATTCCTGCTTACCTTCTGTATGCTCGTTCTGTTACTGAGAGAGGAGTGGGAGTCTCCAGCTCAAACTCTGCATTAGTCTTTCTTGTTGGTTTTTTCTTTGTATACATTGAAGCTCTTTTTAGGCACATACACTTCTAGCCTTGTGTCTTCTTTGTGAACTGGACCTTTTATCATTAGAAATTTGTGTGCTATTAATATAACCATTCCAGCTTTAAGGTATTTAGATATCTTTTCCCATCCCTTACTTTTAACCTACCTGCCTCATTTGCAGTGAGTTTCTTAGTGACTGCATATGGGAGGGTTGTTTTCATTTGTGTGTTTTGACCATTTTCACTTAACGTAATTATTGGTGTTAGGATTTAGTTCTACCATATCTTTTCTCTTTTTTAGCACTATTTTTTGTTCTCTGCTTCCCCTTCACTGTGCTGTTTTAGGTTACAGGAGCATTTTTCAGTACTCCACTCTCCTGTGTCTGTTACCACTTGGACTCTTAACTCTTTGTGTAGGGTTTTTAGTGATTGCTCTAGAACGCAAGGTTTTTAATTTTTAAGTATCTAAGAGTGAGCTTTTTCTTTTTTCAATGACTATATCCTCACCTGTTGCCAGCTTCTCATATAAATATTGTAAATGCTCTCCTTTAGGTAGCTCCGCTTCCGGTGTTGAGGGAATTTCAAAATCTGAGGAGCTCTGGGAGTCTGCAGTGGTGCTAAGATTTAGCGAACTTTTCTCCTGAGGTATGTGTATCCCACTGCTTAGAGCAGTCGGTTCTCCAGCACTGGGAACGATCTTTACGTCTTGATTTCTGTGTTTCAAGTCAGAGTGAGTCTCCTTTGGACAAAGTACACTTTGTTCCATCTGAGAAGCAGGAATATGCTCTTTGATTCTTGGTCTGTAGCTACCTTTGTTTAAGGAGGTAATATCCCCACTCTTTCTCTCTTGGGATGATAACAAGACAGTATCAGATTGGCTGTCCCAGCCTTGACTCCCTTGTTCAGATATGTGTGTTGACTGAGAAGAATTCTGGGAAGAGATGTGAGTTGATTCCCCATCAGAGTCACTAAAAAGCTTCGGTGACTGAGAGCCCCCTGCCTCTGTGGAAGAAGAGGGGTTTTCCAAACCCTCGTCTGTGATTTCATCATTTCTTTGAAAGAATACTTCCCACTGTGGTACTTCTACATCAGCCTTTGGCTGCTGGTGGGTAACGGCTCCCAGGTCTTCTTGAGACGAAGCTGGAGTCTGTAATTCTTCTTCACTCTCACTGTTAGATTCTTCACAATCTACAAAGTTTGCCCAAGGAGAGGTTTGCATACCCTCTGCTTTGAGGTAGCCGGTGCTTTGCCTTTGTTGTTCAGGCTGGGGTTGTGCTGCGGTCATTACAAATACCTCAGGGTGAAGAGTTAGCTGGTATGGAGCCTTGTGCCTTAGCGGTAATGGCACAGGGTCATCAAAGAGGTCATCTTCCTCCTCTGCGGAAAAACACAAGGAGAAATATGGGAAACACAGAATGCAGAGGGAGCCAATTTGTGCTTTTAATTTAAGATCCAATTTGTGGCATTTAGCTATGTTTTCATTTGGTGGAACTGCAAATAATAGTTCACTCTTCTTCTAAGAAAAAGGCCCTTTAGGATATTTTGAATAATTTAATGACTGCCTGTCAACTTGTGTCAGAGTTTGAGTTGAGAATATAGATCTGCATTCCCCAAGTAGGTCATAATGCCTATACCATTGGTTCTCAAACCTGGCTTTCATTAGTCTCATTTGGAAAGCTTTTTAATTTTTTATTCATTTATTTACATAATCTATAGCCAACATGGGGCTCAGATTCATGACCCGGAGATCAAGAGTTGCATGTTGTTCGGACTGAGCCAGTTAGGTGCCCCTGGAAATCCTTTTTTAAAAAAATACAGCTTTCTGTATCTCCTTCTAGACCTACTGAATCCCTGAAGGTGGGACCCGATATTTTTGATTTGTGCTTTAAGTTCTGTTCAACAGCCAGATTTGCAGACTGTATGCTCTGGCATGGACAGTAGTCTCATGAGCATTTAATTTACTTGGCAAATAGTGGATACTCAGTGAATTGGCTGAATTCGTTTTGTTCTGTGAACATTTTGATACCTATTTTGTGCATCTTATGGGCTAAAATGTGTCCTCCAAAGTTCCTAATTTGGAGCCCTAGCAACAATGTCATGTATCTGGAGATGGGACCCATAAGATGGGATTAGTGTCTTCGTACGAAGAGGAAGACAGATCTCTCACTTTCCTTCTTTATGCATGGATGGCGTGGAAAGGCCAAGTGAGCACACATGGAGGCGACGGCGGTATACCACAAGGAAATGAGTCTTCTCCAAGAGTCAGATCTGTTGGCACCTTGACCTTGGACATCCCAGCCTCCAGAACTGTGAGAATATCTGTTGCTAAGTATCCAGTCTCTGGTATCTGTCACAGCAGCCTGAGCCAGCCAAGTGTACGAGGCTATGATAGATACCAAGGGGGACAAATGTGCCAAATGGGGCTCACTTGGAAGTGGCACGAACTGGAAACCAAGGAATTTACTGTTTGTTTTGTTTAAGCATGTTACATTAGCAATATAAAGAACCAGTCCCCTTAAATTCTTAAAAAGAGGAAACCTTACTTGGAGAATGAAATTCTCATAAATTGAGTAGGCATGTAATGGGGGGGGAGGTACACAAATACTTTCCCGCCTTCTAATGACACCTTATCTAAGAAGAAAATTGTTACCTTATTACCTTATAACTACTTAAAAAGGTAACATTTTTCCAGTGATAAAGGATGTAGTTAAAAGCTGCTTTTAAAAAATGGACCACAGAGGTGAGGTTGCTCCCATTCTACCAATGAGGAGACCTGCCTAGGGAGGTGTGACAAGACTCTGGGCCAAGACCCGATCAGTTTGTTCCTGGCTCTGCCCAATCCTTAAACAATGATTTATCTCCTTTTCTGAAGGACTTAAGGTGGCTAAGATATCTAGTGACTATATTTGGAATCATTTTCAGCTCCAAGTTAGCTTTATTTCAAAACATGGATTATAAATTTGTTTTTGCCACAGTTAACATTTTAGGCAATATTTCTATATCTCTAAGCTGAACAGTTTCATATTCTTAGATTAGTAACTATACCACTATCATGGTATGATGTTTCAACTGTAAAAATCTGGCAAAACATTTTTTATATTAATTCTTCTAACTTTTCTGTATGTATGTATCTAAAAAACAGTATACTTCTGATACTGTGAATTCTTATGATATAAACATTTTAAATTTCTCTATATGAAAATGGAGGCATCTAACAGAAAATAAGTGTTAACAAGCTGATAAGCACACCTAAGCCCAATTTTAAAAGGACAGATATTACAATTCACAGATACTTTCCACGGTCATGTCTGTATAACCATAAATGAAGCACCTGAGTTTCTACAGTTTAACCCAATAATGAGAGGTTATGAGACGGACTTAAAGTGACGTTAAATGTACAAAGATGAATTACACCATTATATAGCCATAATGCAACATACGCAGCTATTTTTTTTTGAACAACACAAAAAGGTTAACTGCTTTTAGCTTGTATGCACCTCTACACTTGTCCAGCTTTTAGTAAACAGCCCTTGCCGCAAGTCTCTCTCCTCCCCGCCCCCCCGCCCCACCCTGGTCCCTTCTTAAGGACTGCTGTCCACCTCCACAATCCCAGCCGGAAGTCTTACACAACTGAAGAGCTTCAGGACCCTGTTCTTGCACTATGGTTACTACTATTCTTTGTGGTGCCTAAACAATGTTTTTAAACATTTTTAATGCCTCTGAGTTCTGGATATTTATATAAATGAATGGGGAGAAGGAAATCCATTAAAATGCTATTCAAAATAATTCAGAGTTGTGGCATTCTATAGAACTATTTTCTCAATTAACATAATAGCTATTAAAGGGCACCTGGGTGGCTCAGCGGGTTAAAGCCTCTGCCTTCAGCTCAGGTCATGATCTCTGGGTTCCGAGATCAAGCCCCACATCGGGCTCCCTGCTCAGCGGGAAGCCTGCTTCCCTCTCTCTGCCTGCCTCTATGCCTACTTGTGATCTCTGTCAAATAAATAAAATCTTTTTAAAAAATAAATAGTAAAATATCAGAGCACAAAGAGCTTTATTGAAATGCTTTTTTTTTTTTTTTAAGATTTTATTTATTTATTTGACAGCAATCACAAGCAGGCAGAGAGAGAGGAGGAAGCAGGCTCCCCGCTGAGCAGAGAGCCCGATGCGGGGCTCGATCCCAGGACCCTGAGATCATGACCTGAGCCGAAGGCAGCGGCTTAACCCACTGAGCCACCCAGGCGCCCCTGAAATGCTTTTCAAAAGAGGTCTATGAGAATGACTCCTCAACTTGCCCCTCAGAAAAATCAGTTGCTCTTAAGATTTGTCCAGTACTGGGACGCCTGGGTGGCTCAGTTGGTTAAGCAGCTGCCTTCAGCTCAGGTCATGATCCCAGCGTCCTGGGATCGAGTCCCACATTGGGCTCCTTGCTCGTCAGGGAGCCTGCTTCTCCCTCTGCCTCTGCCTGCCATTCTGTCTGCCTGTGCTCGCTCTCTCTCCCTCTCTCTCTCTGACAAATAAATAAAATCTTTAAAAAAAAAAAAGATTTGTCCAGTACTAAATGGGTACTAACACTGATTTGCTTCAACAGAACATATTTAACAGACAAGAAACTGAAAAACCGCCCCACACAATAGTATAAATCAACACAGACTTTAAATAACCACATGCAGGAGCGCCTGGGTGGCTCAGTGGGTTAAGCCTCTGCCTTCAGCTCAGGTCATGATCTCAGGGTTCTGGGATCGAGTCCCACATCAGGCTCTCTGCTCATAGGGAGCCTGCTTCCCCCTCTCTCTCTGCCTACTTGTGATCTCTCTCTGTCAAATAAATAAATAAAATCTTAAAAAAAAAAAAAAAAAACACATGCAGGGGCACCTGGGTGGCTCAGTGGGTTAAAGCCTCTGCCTTCGGCTCAGGTCATGATCTCAGGGTCCTGGGATCGAGCCCCGCATCGGGCTCTCTGCTCGGTGGGGAGCCTGCTTCCTCCTCTCTCTCTGCCTGCCTCTCTGCCTACTTGTGATCTCTGTCAAATAAATAAATAAAATCTTTAAAAAAAAAACAAAAAACACATGCACAGGACAGAATTATAAAGTCAGTGACATGGACCAAAGCAAACATGATTCCTAGGGCTTACAAAACACATCTAACCCACTATTAGACTGACACCAGAGGGTTGCTGAAAGATCTATACCTATACAAAGAAAAACTATAAAAATTGCTATATTAATAAGGAATAAAAATGCTAAGGAATCAACAAGGAACAAAGTCAAAGCTAACAACAACAAAAAAGGCAATAAAATGGCAAAACAAATGTCAATCTGAAAACTCAAAACTAGTGGCCCAGGGTGCCTGGGTTGCTCGGGTGGGCAGCTGTCTTTGGCTCAGGTCATGATCCCGGAATACCAGGATTGAGTCCCGCTTCGGGCTCCCAGCTCCACAGGGAGTCTGCTTCTCCTCTCTCATGCTTTCACTGTCTCTCCCAAATACAAAAAATCTAAAAAAAAAAAAAAAAAACTAGTGGCCCAATAAAAAAACCACATAGACAAAAATAAGTGGCATGGGGTAGATGTTTAAAAGGTACAAAATGTTAAGATTTCTGCTTCCAGCCAAGAGTAACAGGGACTATAATTACTTCTCACCTGAAACTAAGAAACCAGACAAAATATAACAGGCTCTCAAGAAAGCAAACATCAGGCAATGAAGGACAAGGACACCTGAGACAGAAACAAATGAAAGGAGCCCTAAGCCTGCCCCAGTTAACCTGGTGACCGTTTCTAGGCAGGACGGGGACACCCAGGTAGAGCTCACGAGCATCATGTAGTTGAGAAGGTGTGACTGCAAGTCAAGAAGCCATGGTGGCAGGAGTCTACAGGACAGAGGCCTAGAGAGCGGGCCCCCTCTAGTGCTCAGCAAACTGATCAGTGCATGCTTGTGAGCTAACTACCTGAGACCAAGGAAAACTTACTCCAAAGAACTGAAAGAAACAGTGCCCAGAATGCACACAGTGCTAGGAGCATGCCTGTTCCTGACAGCCAGAGTGGAACCCCTCATAATTCACAGGGCAGCTGAAGGGGCACTAAAAGGGGCCTTAGTAGTGGGAGAGTTAATTCTAGACCAAATGCTGCCCTGCTTCTGCCTAACAAGATAAAAAAACACAAAAGGATCACACTGTAGCCAACCTGCTTAAGCACATGCCAGAGCAAAGTGCGTGAATATTCTTAGAAATCCAAAATTAGAACCTAAGAAGGTAAGCCTCAGGTAAACTGAAATGATCCAGAAAACATGGGAGTAAATCTTTGTGATCTTGGATTAAGCAACAGTTGAACACATGAAGTAAAACACAAATTAGATAGATTGGACTTAATCAAAATTCAAAATTTCACACTACAAGAGACACCATCAAGAAAGAGAAAGACAAACTGTAGACTGAAAGAAAATATCTGTAAACCATATCTAATAAAGGACTTATACCCAGAGTCTATAAAGAACTTACAATGCAGTAAGATCAATAATCCAATTTAAAAATGGGCAAAAGACTGAAGCAGACATTTCAGCAAAGAACATAAATGGCCAATAAGCACATGAATTAAGCTCAATTATAAATAGTGAAATGCAAATCAAAACTATAATGAAATACCTCTTTATACCCACTAGAATGGCTACACTCAAGAAGTGTGAGCCACAATGTGGAGAAAATTGGAATCCTCAGCTAGTGGGAATGAAAATGTGTTCAATTTAGAAAACAGTTTCTCAGTTTGGTAAAATGTCAAAACACAGACTAACTATGTTCTGGAATAAATGTGCCCTCCTCCCAATCCACACGTTGAAGCCCTAACCCCCAGTGTGGCTGTATTCGGAAATGGAGCCTCAAAGGAAGTGATGAAGTCAGTAAGGACAGCACCCTGATCAAACAGGATTAGTGCCCTTATAGGAGACATCGGCCCTTTCCCCCTACAGCCTTCCGCCCCCAGCACATGCCCAGGAAAGGGCATGTCAGCACACACTGATAGGACAGCTACCTGCCTACAAGCCCAGCAAAGAGGCCTCAGAATGAAACTTACTTTGCCAGCACCTGGATCTTGGGACTTCCAGCCTCCTCAATTATGAGAAATGCCTGTTACTTAACTACCTAGTCTTTGATATTTTGTTAATGGCAATGGTCACCCCCACCATCATCTGGAAATGCTATTCCTGTGTTATTTACCCCAAATAAGTCCTGTGTCCACACAAAGACATGTCTGCAAATATTCAAAGCAGCATAATTCATAACTAAAAATCAGAAACAACCCAAATGTCCATCAACTGATGAATGGATACATAAAATGTGGCAGTATAAAGGAGTAAGTATTGATACATACAACACAGATGAACTCTGAAAAGGTGATGCTAAGAAGCCAGGCACAAAAGACCGAATGTTGTATAGTTCCATTAACATGAAATGTCCAGCAGAGACAGATCTATAGGGTTAGTGGTTGCCTACAACTGGAGGGGCTCATGGGGACTGACTCGAAACGGGCATGGCGTGGAGTAACAGAAATGCTCTGAAATTACACAGTGGCAAATGGCTGTGTGTGTGATAGTAACAACCATGGAAGTGTTTGCCTAAAAAGGGTGAAATTTATGGCATATAAATTATACTGCAATAATGCTTTAAAGAAACTGACAGTTTAAAGCAAAAAATATGTATATATATTGTGGGGTTTATAACAAGTAAAATGGCAAAAAATGCAGACTGTGAGGGGGGAAATGGAGCCATACTGTCATTCAGTTTCTTCAACTGTGCTATAGCATTCCTGGAATAATACGTATCTTTTCACTCTGATAGGTTAAAGATGTATACTGTAAGCCACTGAAATAAATACAGCCAATAAGCCAACAAGAGATGAATGTAATCTATCTATTCTTCCCAAATTGAAAACATTTTTTACCACAATTCCAACCAAACTCCCTCCGGTGGACATTTTGTACAAATGGCAAGATGACTCTAAATACGAAGGACCCGGATAGCCAAAACAAGTCTGAGACTGTATCACTTAACTTCAAAATTTATAAACGTACAATAATCAAGACAGGGCAGTAGGGATGTCAAGACAGAGATCACAGAATATTAACAAAAAGTCCAGAAGTAGATCCCCACGTATATTGTCAATTGATTTTCAACAAAAGTGTGAAGATTCAGTAGAAAAAAGGAGATCTCTTTTCAACAAATGGTCCCAAGAGCACCTGGATGTCCATATGCAGGAA